GACTTAATCGAATAAGACAAAGACTTGCGTCCTTCACTATCAAATGAATGTCTTGTTTTCGGAAGATGATATTAATTACCACAAAAAAAGGCGAGCTTCTCCTTTACATTGATAACATTTAGTACATATGTGTTTACTGTAAAGGAAGGGAAAGGCCTATGTAAAGATGCGGTGTTGTTGCAGACAGCCCTCTTTACTAACCCCGTAAGAGATCAGATTGTTGTCAACACAAAATTAAATAGTAACATTAATAATTCTTTGGCTGACCAAGGACCAAGGCCCAAGTGAACGCTTGTCGCCCGTTCAAAAAAGTCTGGGCAGGTTTCGTCTGACTATAAAGCGCTTAAAGCAGGCCAGGAATTATTCAGTTGTCAAATCAGTGACAAGTTCAAGGTGGATTTCCTTTGTGCCGAAGCATACAAATATAACCTTATTCGATGACAGGTTTCCTTTTACGGCTATTTTTTATCGGTATCGGCCAGGTGAAGTCTACCCCGACCTTTTTGAATGGACGGCAAGCGTTCACGGATGTAAAGATATAAATAGTTAGAAATACCAGCTTTTTCGCATAATACCTCTCCTGTATGTTAATTTATGCAGATGAATTAGTTAGTTTTTTTCATCTATACTTACTATGTAGTGATAATGTAATTTAACACATTTGTGTGTTCAACTACAATTGAACAAAAACATCCAAATATCATAGATATAATCAATTTTATTGTCTTTTCTCAAACATCATGAACTTAAAACTTTGTTACCTATAGAATTCAAAATGGATTTCTACAGACGTTCTATAATCAATAACCAAGATTTTAATAAAGCCCGATCAGAAGTTGCCTCGAAATTATGGAATAAAACAAAAGAAAACTAACGAACAAACACTTTTGTATTGAAATTGAAAATACTTGCTGGAATTAATAAGTATATGAAACGGACATTGTTTACGCTCAAGGCGGGTTCAGTATTAAAACAAATAACACAGTATATTAGTTCTTCGATGAAACTCCAGTTCTTTTTCTAGAACTTATGGAATGTTATACAAATTTCATCACGCTTCATCTTAAATGATGTTGATGATATGCGAATTGACGTAAATGAACTTAGACGTGATTATAACAATAAGACATTAAATATAAAAATCTTTAACATTGAATGATTGACCGCATTAACTTACTAATTAAAAGTTAATCTGTAATAAAGGGATAGATTTGATAATGTTTTTGACTATGAAAATACGTAATTAATTTTGAAAATTCTTTCACCTACTAGAAATTACATCATACGCGGGTGACAAATGGCCGGTTTCTGAATTGAGAAAAATACAAAATCTCAACTGATTATTCTCAATAATTTAAGTTTTTGAGTTTTCACAGGTCATAAAGTCCTAGTTTTATCATACTACTATCATCTGGTCATCAAAATAACTAAAATGAGAAACGAATACTTGTTTAACTGACGTTACAGTACAGTTTAAGACGTGCTTAACTTTAAATACTTAACTCAGAAACCGGGTGATAGACTACTTAATATAATTTACGCAGGCTTAGTCGTGGGAAAACTCAAAATACTATAAAATTTCATTCGGATGATTTTTAAGTTTTGCTTGCAATAAGATACAACTCACTCCCTAATTCTATTTCGATTTTAAGTGTGAATTATGAGTAAATAATCACATAAAAATTATTGCAAGTATATTCAACATATACAATCTCATATTCGCCTTTGTTCTCTTAAAATATGTGTTTCCACATTTTTAATATATCAAGCCACGTACTCGCGATAGTGCAATGAAACAGATTACACATGGTTTATTATTTTTGGGGCTTCTGGCGCTATACGGTCTCGCAAAGGTATACCTTATGAATTCGAAACAGTGTATACGTATTTGCAAGCATTTTACGGGGGTTGGTTTAAAATATTTTTTAAGAAAAAGTTTTCGTTTTATTTTATTTGATCAATTTTGCATCTAAATTGCTATACTAATAATTAGAACAAATTTTCATCATTATCGAAAATTTTAATATTTGTAAAAATATTTCTTTCGGCTGTTTGAGTGGATTGCCTGAACATTGATGAAAATACGCTCTGTAGTAGAGAAAAAGTAACAAGTGCTTGAAAGATTCGTCAGTCCTATTAGGTCCTAGGTAGGATAGTGATCAGAGCAGTTGCCCAGATTGAAAGGTCGTGGGTTCAAGTCCCATTTCAGAGTACCAGAGACAAAGTGAATTTTTTAAGCATTTTTCATTAAAAAAAAATCTTTTAGGAAATTGTGTTAAGGTTGTTACGAAAAATCTGTGCTGATAAAATTAAGCTATAATAGTGACTACATACTGTAATAATGTTTCTTTTTAAACCCCGAGTCAAAAGAAGGGTGTTATAAGTTTGACGTGTCTGTGTGTGTGTCAGTCTGTGGCATCATAGCTCCCAAACGGATGAAGGATTTCAATTAAGTGTTTTTTTTTATTATTAAATGTGACTGAAGTATAAGTCTTCTTAGATATATTTAATGAAAATCTATTGAACCATTTAAAAGTTGTGTAGCCTGAAAGTGGGGAAGAATAACCGAATCAAATGAAAGCGCATTGAAGGAGAATATTGATGATTTAACGAGAGTGTTCTTAGCTTCGGTTGATGAGAAAATAATTATATTAAAGAGTTGCAGACTAATATTAACATTAAGTAACAAATATTAGCTATCATTTGAATATTTTCAACAAAATTTGCATTGAGCGACCGCTCTAAACCTTACAATTTAATAAGTATTTTAATATTTTGTACTTTTTAAAGGGAACTTAGGTTTTATATATCAGAGGCATATTAATTGTTAATTTTGCTTCTACCATCTATAAATAAAAAGAAACTTATAATTAGCATACATTATATTGTAAAACGAAAAATCCATAAATTTCCTTTATTCTGTTTTAATATGTGTTGATTCTGTTAAAATCTCTGTTTAATTTTTAAATTTTAATACTTTAACTTTAATATTGGTTTTAATTATAGTTTCATTTATTTTATTCGTAATGACTAAGATCTATGTTATGTTTCGTTTAAAATTAGTTTAATATAATAAATAAGGCGCCCTCTTTAGTCAAACTCTATAATTGTCTATAAGAACAATAAAAAACTGAATGCGCACCAACAACATAATTCTGTATGGAACAAGAAACTGACAAAACCACCATAAAAGTTTCCCCTAAAAATAATATAAAATACTCCCATTGTTTCCGAGGCGAAAGAACTAGTATCATTAATTTCCTTTTATTCATAACGGCCATCGGCCTATCCAGTGACGGACTTCGAGATTCAGCGCCCCGGGCCACTTTTGACCATAAACAAAATAAACTAAACCATACCAGAAATAATTATAATAACAAAAAAACTGAAAGACTTTACTAACAAATAAATACGAGCTGATCTTCGCAGTCTGCGACCCCAGGCATTGGCTCTTTGGTCCTAGCCTAAATACGTCCCTGTGCCTATCTAAAGCAACATCCGACGTCATCCTCCCACAATTATTTCTCTTCTACCGTAACGCGGACACCGGCATCACATGAATATTAAAACCAGGCCTTCGTGTAATAAAAGTAATGTTTTTTCGTTCTTTATTATTCGAAGATAATTAAGACGGTGCGGTGGTAATAGCGGAATGTTTTTTTTTTGTGCGGCCCCCACTTGGAAATTCATAAATTCAGCTTTACTTAGTGTAACATCCAATTTATTTTGTGTTCGGGACCTTTCGGCCACTGAGGATTTCCCGTGGTTATTTTTAGGGAAGTTGCATTTGATTTTTTTCGAATGGATGTGAAAGTATTTCGTGTGTTTTATAAAAACACCTTTCAACCTTTTTAAAGTGTAAATTACCGTGTATGGAAAATGCGATGTGGGCTATATTTTAGGCAGCATGAATAACCATCGGCACACCGTTTTATGTACCCTGTTAATCAATATAAAAATTTATTTCTACGCTATCATCAGATCTGCTCTCATCTCCTCAACTGTTTTGATTATACGAACCTTTTAAATTTATTTAGCTGGCCCGGCAAAATCACCACTCAGAATGAAATAATGCATCAAAGATCAATAAAATTAATTTCCGAACGCACCCGGTGCAACAGTTAAGACAGAACGGTACAGTTTTTATCGTAAAATACAACTATTGTTTTAACTATTTTCCTTGCAATTTCTTCATATTTCGTTTCAAATTTATTTTCTATTCAAAATTTACCAAATCAGTCCACCTATTCGCGAGTTTTGTGTGACAGTTTTGTGTGAGTTACATTAACAAACGTCATTTTACTTTATACAGAGGTAATAATGAAATTTATCTTTATATTATTTGATTATAATAACCAAAGCTGTTATTACCATTATCATAGCTATTGAACAATTTATTAATACTTATAACGTAATATTTTAGTTAACGCACTAAAATTGAACTCAGTCGCAAAATTTTGATGCCATCTGTACCGCCAGTAAGGTATTGGATACATCAATCATGTGGCATGACCATTACGATTTTTTAATCGGATTTAGTCTATCTATGGATAAATAAATCAAGGCAGCGTCGATACGGTTTACAGCAGCCGCCAGCGTATCGGAAGATAACTATTCCCATTCGAAACTGTATTTTTTTATTGCAATGCACTTTAGCTTTTTGAACATAGAACACATGTTTTAAAAATAATTATGAAACAAGACGATTTAATTTTATAACCAAATGGTAATTATGCTGGAAGGTATGGTACGTCTCGCTTTGCAAGAGTATCAACTATCCACGCATTAATAGATTATTCCTTCTCCTCGAAAATAACAACTGAAACTCACGTATCTTTGAACAATGAACCAAAAAACAACAAAATTCATTCAACAACAAAAGTCATTCGTCATAACTTAAAATAAACTTCTTTTCGAAGTTGTCATTTAATTTCTTCAAATAGTATTTTCTTCAACACAATATCAACCATTAGGTGCGTAATTAGGTAAAGTTTACATACCTCATTATCCTTGTCGGCATCCTTGATGTGTTGCGCTATAAACCTGACGCTTTGAAGAGCTGCAGCCACCTCTGGAGACATATGCCTCGGGATCATATTCTCCGATTCTGTCACTATAAAACGAATTAGGAGTAAGTTCTCAATATCGCTAGTGTGAGTCGTATTTATGATTAGGTAAGAGACTCATGCCATTGCCAAACATATTGATACACCAACACATATTTTGCACTAGACCCTAGCACTAGAAAATGTGCCAATGTAAAAGTGCATGTCTTTGAGTTAGTTCCAGTGGTTAAATCTCTAAAACAATAACGATTCAAAACCGAGAAATGCAGTTTTTTCTAGTAGGCTATTATGCTTAAGTAACATATTTTACAGCAACAAAAAATATTATTGAAGCACTGCAAGCATAAGAATCATAACATCACATTTTCCTTAGTTTTAAAAATTAGTAAGTCCTTTTCAGTTCGCCATAATTTTGCTTCAATATCAAATTTAATAAAGCAAATATGAATAATGAAATTTAAAGTAGGAATAAAAAAATATTATATATCAAGTTTTTCAGTGGTGAGCTTCGTTATTTCCGCAAATCCTCTCTAGCTAATGCAATGCTTTTTAGTACGGATTTACGAAATAAAAACTTTTGATCCCTGTCAAGTTATTTGCTAGAGCTTTTGGTGGATATTTATGGAAGAAATTTATGAATATGAGGTACACCATGATAACCTTAACATTAGTAGAAATGAATAGATCGCATATAATGCGGCGGATTTTAATGTCGTTTCATTAATATCTCTTTTTTTATACAATAGGGATGATGAGAAATTTTTGTTTTGTCCGTCCGTCAGTTAGATTTCTGTCATTGTAATGAAACGTTACATGAACTCACACCTTTGTACATTTTCTACATAGTTGGGGCGTAACCATTGGGGAGAAAATATAAAAAAAGCTCGAGATAATACATTTTTGGTCACCCATCCTATGACCAGCAATTGCAAAAGCTGCGTATCGCAGAGCGAGTGCGCTAACTATTGTGCCATCTTGCTCCAATGACATATCATATGGTATCGATATTGTCAAAAAATAACAAGTCTCGTTAACTTTAAACAATATTTAGGCAATGTTCTTTGATTGTTTCCCATTTCTATCGCCCTCACCTGATGGTCTTTGATGTGCGCTACCAGCTAAAATGTCATCTTCTGGTGCTGGCGACTTTCGGTAGTCACCGCTGTCACTATTCTTAGCGTCACCAAAAGCATCGGTGAGACTGTCGCGGCTGCAAAAGATTTAACCTTCATAAATGAATTCACAAATCAGATTTAATATCATTTATGCAGTCTTGAGAGTTACAAGTAGGTACTTATGAATGTCGACAGCTATGTAATCAGTTCATTTATCTACGGCAAGAGACCTTATACTGAGAAAAACCGGCAAGAAACGCAGCAAAGGCTGCTTTTTCCAAGTCCAATTAAAAAGTGACTTTAATAGACTATAAAGTCACTTTCCATTACATAATAAGATTACAAAAGACATTATTCTTTTGATATACGAATAATGTGCCGCGTCTTACTAATTCATCCAATTTTTCTTATTAATATTATAAATGTGAAAGTTTCTATGTTTGTGTGTTTGTCGGTCAATCACGCCGAAACTAATGAACGGATTTTGATGAAATTTGGTATACAGATAGGGTATTAGCTGACTTAGATAATAGGATAATTTTTATCCCGCTAAATATTTCCATAGGGACCACGCGATCGAAGCCGCTGGCGAAAGCTAGTTGTTAATAAATCATCATCTTGAATGAGACATCATTGATGAAATCCGTCACAATTTCTGGGGCAAAGACCCTATGGATGGAGTCAGAGAGGAAGCGCCACGCGAGCTCATTACGGATTGGTAGATGTTAACGATTGCTAATTCAGCGGAAACCAACGGTTTAACGTGATTTTCGTAGCACGAAGAAGCCGATGTTGCGAAAGTTCCTCTCCTCCGTATTGCTGATAGAATACGCTAACCACTACGCAATCGAGCTCTCTATACTAATACAAAAAAAGATTTGATTTTTGTTTGTAACTGTTCTTTTTTTTTTTTGATAAATTACCAGCAGGTTAAGATCTTAAGCTGTATTTTGTCTACATTAATATCATTAAGAGGAACAATTTTGTTTGTTTGCTTCTAAAATCCTCAAAACAACTGGATCAATTTTATAAATGTTTTAACCTACGGGAAGCTAAACCATACGCGGGTGGCTATAATTTAGGCGGGTGAAGTCGCGAAAAATGCCTAGTTAACTATAAAATGGTACGAAATTCGCCCGATCACCTAGTAATTTTACAAACGGGTTTTTGTCCTTAATTTGTGAGCTCATACCTCCTCTAATTAGTCAAATCTCAACTCAGTTTTCCTCTTATTATTAAATAAATAAAAATAGTAATACCTACACCTACTTATGTTGGCACTATAAGTAGTAACGTATTCTGCAAAGAATCCGTATCCTTTATTCCCAAACGCCATTCGGAACCCTTTTAGGAGTTGTTTTATATCGTAAGCACCTAAATCGATTCAAATTTAAATAGGCCAGTACTTTTTCTTCACTTTGTACGTGTTGGCGTACAAATATATCACGCCATTATTCGCACATTCGCGTCACTCGTGCAGACCTTGCGAGATAATGAAGCCACAAAGCGATATTCGATGAGGGTAAACTGGAGCGTTTGTAAAAAGACTATGAATATGACAGAAATTTTCTGAGGGCTCGTTAATAATGATAAAATTTTGTTACATGATAATTGAGAACTGAAACACACATATTATGTAGTTTTAAACTTCCATGGTCATTAAAATTAGAATAACACCCATTTTCACTAAACTTGAACAAGCGTTTCCTAGTTAAACATAGCTTAAGTTTCTAGTTAATTAGGAAAGTAGGCCTAATATTATGAATCGCCTAAGCAGATTAGTTTAATTCCTTACTTTTATCCCTTGACATATTTATGACCTATCCTAACGCAAGGCGCCATAACTTTTTATGATATTCCTTATGTAATTACTAAAGAGACATGGCTTAATTTTGTTAATGGTTCCTAGTTAATGGTGAAATGCATTTTTACCTTAGGCTATTCCTAAATATTTAGGCGACAGATTTGGGCGACTACTAAGCTTAGTGAAAACGGGCATAACAGTTATATTTGTATTTACCATGAACAAAGTCAATCTACCACGATAATTCAATTTTCCCCAATTGATTTAGAACTCTTTGTTAATAAAAGAGATTTTTATATTCTATTATATCGTACAAAAATTTTAAACAAAAGGTGAACTTATTTTATTAACTAAGATGACAAAAAAATATTATATCAAAAATACTTGAAAAAAATTGAAACGACTTCAAACTTATACTTATATTCTTAATGAAAAAAATATTTAAAAAATCCACTTTGTCCCTGGTACTTCGAATAAAAAAAAATATTAAGAATATTTTTCAGTACAGTACTGTGAATGCAAAATTGATATAATAATACAGCTTATCTCAAAAGCGACTCAAAAAAATGCTACTGATGTCGGCCGGAGGTCTTCTGTAGGTTTATTAATCAAATGATAGGCGCCCGACTTTAATAGCATTTACTTGACTAAGTAGCTTTTGAGATAAGTATTATGTTTCACTTTTTTAAGTTTGAAGTTGGTTCTATTATTATTATATACCAGCTTTCTGCCAGCGGCTTCGCCTTCGTGGTTTATATACATATCAATAGGGATGATGACTGGGTAAAAAAATGCAATTCTATTTAGTCCGTCAGTCAGATAATAGAAAAATATTAGATACATATTTTTTTTTACTTCAATTTAACAAGAAATAGCTTAGATAACAGGCATTAAAATTGAGGAGTGGGGGCTCGCTACGTCACAGTTGAGTAGAAAACGTACCCTAACGTGACGTCATGCGAAATTTCAACTCAATGTAATGCCGTAATTTTATGATTACGAAAAAAATACGTGTTTAATATTTTTTAACACTCTACCTGACGGACAAACAAACAAAAATTAGTCATCATCCCTATTCATATCATGCCACTATGACACGAATTACAATGACAAATTGAATAGTAAAAATCGTTACTACGGTAACGTTTTTATTCCCGATACAAACTTCCATTCCCATCTTCATCACTTTATTTACTGATTCTCGAGATAAAATATAGCCTATGTTCACCGCATATAATGTATCTTCCCATAGGTGTCCAGTAGTATCGGAGCCTATTCCTTGCAAACAAACAAACAATCAAATCTTTCCACTTTATAATAGTAGTATTGGTCTTTATAAATAAAAATATTCAACATAGTGAAAGCCTTACAAAAGAAGATTTTAATTTATTTGGGCGACATAATTGTTCAATAATTCTATACTTATAAAGAGGAGAGATTATCTGCTTGTTAGTTTGCATTGGATAGGCTCCGAAAGTATTAGACTTATTTATAAAAGTCTTTCATCTACGGGAAGCTAAATAATACGCGTTGGACATAGGCTATAATTTACGCAGGCGATGTCGCGGGCAAACAGCTAGTCTGATGGAAATTGGTTCACAATTCAGGAAGGAATCGGTTGACTTTCATAAAAAATATTACTCTTTGAACATAGAAATTGAGATTTCGAATCAATTCAAAATACGCTTTCATTATCTGAGATACATGAAATATAATACATAATATCTAAATATTTAAATGATATATGGTGAAAAGCATATTTTGGTTTCTTATAAAAGGAAAACTACTGATTCGATTTCGATAAAATTGAAATGGGACCAACTCGGTCCATTAAGCTGTCGAATAAAAGAATTTGCGAAATCGGTTAACAATTGATGGAAATATCGATAAAAAATCATAAAAAAACATACATCGCCATCGAACATAATAACCTCCTCCTTTTGGATTTTCAAGTTAATAAAAGTAGAAAAAAAATTGCTTATCAAACACTAATGCAATAATTAGATTATTTAAATAATGATAACACTATAACGATAACAATTTTGATCAAAAATTGAAATTTTCGGTGGAACGATAAAAGGTTTTCACGGGCTTTGTAATGCAAATGAGAGGGCGCTGTTTAATATAATGAAAATTGACTTGACATAAATTAGTTTAACGATAGGACGATGGCCGCTCTTATTTTATGATTTCACTTACAAGCAAGTCTTAAATTTAACAGTAAGCCATCCTAAAGCTAATATATTTGTAAATAAATAAACAATTAATGTGGTTAAATACGTTTACATGAGTGTTAAATCAAACATTACGGCCTTGGATTCGTAAAAATACCTAAAAAATATATGTAACTTGTTGTTTATAATGTAGCTTCCGTTGGTAAAAAAAAAAATTATTATCAGATCAGTATTTATGAAGATTGGCCCCCTACAAACGAACAAACAAATGTAGAAATTTTACCTCTTTATAAAATTAGTAAAGATTGATAAATATATCAGTAACAGTGTGACATTTGTAACTTCGAACCTAGAAAGAGATCGAAAAATGATAATTCACGTGACTACACAAAATAATATTAACTAAACCGCGTTTCGATTCGTATATATAAAACATTTAATTCCACAGTGTAAATTTCCGACACATTTTCTGAGTGCCGATGAGATTATCCAGGAAGCTTATATTTTACTTTCGTAAAATCGTGATCCAATAGCGGTTTGTGATCAGTATTAAATGAAAAAGGAATTTACTGATGTTTTTAAAACATTTTAATAGTTATACGATCGTAAGTGCGCTGAAAAAATTGTTTATATTCAATTCCATTGCAGAAGGACTTATTGATTTGTGTATCCAAAATATGTTTTAGCCAACGTCAAAAATATTCGTCTGTATATATAAGTTCTACTCGTGTTAATTCACATGAAGGCCTATTCTATTAGTCTGAAAATGAAATCTCTATCTATTTTCGATAATTGATGATGCAACTGAGGGGAGATCTGACATTGCCTCTGATGGACAAATAATCTTCACTGATATAGTTTTTTCAAAGTTAAAAGAACGTATAGAATGTTTTGAGTTTCACAAATGGAATAGATAATTTGTACGAATTATATTTTTTTATGCGGCCGTAACTTCGTGGTTCGTGAACCGATTTTAAGGTAACAAGCACTACCTTAAATCGATATTGATTAGGATTATATAGTATATCCTTATATGGGATTTTAATTTTAATAATATATAATTTAACGACTTTTATAATTAAAAGAGCAAATTCAATCGATTAGCTACCTTTTACAACGTTTAATGAATTTTAATTAAAATACTTCTTGTAGATACATAAGGCAAAGCCTTTTTTAGGATTCCGAATGGCTAAACGGAACCCTTATAGATTCGTCATATCTGTATGTCCGCCCGTATATGACAACTACTTTAGCTGGAGACTCTTAGGAATATATAATTGAAACTTCGTAGGTATGTAGCAATATAAATATAAATGTATAAATATCTTACTATTTATATAAAAAAATTACAAATAAGGCAGTTCTACATACATGTACTTGAAACCCAAAAAATCATCAAACCTCTAAGTGCCAGGTGTGTATAGATAGGTCTTTAAAAATAACATTAATGTTCTAAAAATCAAATATACATTCAAAGTCATAAAACGATAGACATTACATAGTATAAAACAAAGAAGCTTACTCTGAGATCTTTTAAATTATACAACGGATTTTAATGCGGTTTACAAACATCAATATACTCGTACAGTACGATTCAAAATGAAGTTTTTCATGTAAAATACAGGACCACGCGAACGAAGCCGCACGCAAAAAACTAGTTCAATTATAATTTGTTTGGTATCCATTTCCAATTATCTGCTAAAGTTAAGCAATAACCATTATTATAATTAATCATATTGATTCAAGCCTATACCATATGATCAAAGTCCTAACTAACAATGAAAGCCTAGATATGCAATAGCGAATATCACGGATACAGTACTATGTTCAGACAAATTAATGGCTCTTCGGATATTATCTGATTGAGCGGATATCGCAAAACTAGTTCCATAGACTTATCATATCTGTTCGGGTATTGTCTATGACTGCAAAACTTCAGATAATGGATATAATACCACAAAAAGGAGCTAAAAAGATTTTTTACATAAAAAAGACGGTGCGTTCGCAAGACGTATTTTTCTTAATCATTAAATTGCAGCGATATATTGAGTTAAAATGTCAAATGACGTCACGCTTTTGTGCTATTCTACAATACTGTGGTGTAGCGAACGCCCACACCTCAACTTTAGTGCCTGTTAGTTAAACTATTTCTTGTTAAATTGAAATAGAAAAGAAATACTTATCCAATATTTTTGACTAAATATATAAATATATATACTAAATATATAAGCAGACTAAAGTAGACTAAATAGACTAGACTAAAGTTGTAGAGTAGACTAAATATTTTTTTTTTTTTTTACCCAGTTGTCATCCCTATTGCGATAGATTTTAAAATTAGACTATTAGGCCCCTGATCATGTTAAAATTCAACTAACCTCATTTCCAATTCGTTGGTGTATCCATTTGATACGAAAGTATCGTCGTAGTCTGGCAAAGAGTATTTAGTCCTCCTCATCATAAGCAGCTTAGGCATAAACTGCAGGAACAACTTCTTCATCCACGGAGACATGGTGTGTGTTGATGGAGACCTATGTAAAATATGCAACTTTGTAAATCTTGTAGGATTAGATACTATTGCATTGAAAAAAATGAAGTATACCAGCTAATAATATTGAGCTAGGGGTAGATAGAGCATTTGGACTGCAATGCGGAAGTTACCCAACTTTCTCATAGGTTGGTCATAGTATGGGCAATTGGAGTTTTTTTATCTCAACCTCCTTCGTGCTTCGAGAAGCATGCTAAGCCGTTGGTCCTTCTGAATTGGTGTATTTTGACCTTCTCTCCCTGTTTGATTCCATTATTCCAACCCAGCAGTGGGGAAATTAATAGATTGATGATGAAATGGTAATAAATCAACCTCAACACTCGGAAGACTTCTGTTATAAAAATACAATCTATTTTTCTAATGAATAACTCAGCATTACAGGTGGATTAAAAGGTAAGCCGAAATGATTATCTAGAGGATAATTTATTATCTTTTCCTCGCTTTCATTGGTCGGTAATTTTTTTGGCCAATGATATTAATGCTCAAAAATTGCCCGCAACCCGCGTGCTGACACCATCGAGCAGTGTAACTCACCCAGAATAGTTGGAGCTTAACATACTTTAAAGACGTCAGTTAATTGACTACTTGACTGTTTTAGGTAAGTATTTTAAAACATTCATATCATCATATTAAACTATTTTCAGAATTTTTGTCTCCAAAAACTGATGTTAAATAAAGGAAAACTATATTTTTTTAATTTAAATTGTCCCACGAAAACAATTTGTACCGTGACGTATCATTTCAATAAACATAAGTACGGTTGCATTCGCAAAACTAAAACTCCATCATGGTCGCCCTCGTTTCGGCTTTTATTATCCACAGTTAATTTTGAAAGAATAAAATAAATTAAAAAACTACTTCAGTTATTATTTACATAAAAAATACCGCTTTCAACATATTTTATAATTAATTTCTATAACTGTGCCACTTGTCGTCGTGAAAAGTTAGAACTGTCAAATGCCTATCACATTCTACTTTGATTGAAAGATAATTCGACTGCGAACTAACACGAAGCTTTCCGTCACATTTGCACCGCTGCTTATCCATAGATTTTTGAAAAAGTAAAAAGAAGAATCACTGCATAAACAGAAGACATCTTGAATGGGGAATCACGCGCAGTTCTTCTGAATATCTAATATTGAAAGCCGGTTTCTTCTTATCAAAAAGACGTTTATATAATAAACATACTATGGGGTACACATGCTGTACGTTAATAGCGTTTATCTCTATCAGCCATAACTCTCGTATTCACAATGTTCTATTACAGTAATGACAAAATAACAATGAGCCTTGATGATTTACTGGGCTATTAACGCGACTCGCGCTGATGCAATTTACAGTAGCAGTTCGTTCATTTTAGGTGGTTCACGCATTCTGGAAGGGCAGATTCACATAACAATACAGTAAACTTTTCACGGATATAAACACGTATAGATTTCATTCGTGTAAAAGACGACCAGTTGAAGATTTCGATAAGAATTTATGATTAACAGGTGAAGTTAGAGTTAGTTTGAAGAGCGGGTCTCAAAATGGGCCTTGCTTTCACTATAAATATAAAAAATCGTTATCTATAGATCGTGGTTCCTAACACAGGGGTAATTCCTTTACAGTGTAACAGTGCGCCGTACCACCGTTTATTTTTCCTAGGTTTCAGCATGCAAACTTTTGTCTTTGATATTCAACATAATTTCTTTTTATTATTCATCTTTCGTAATTTGAAATTTTGACTAATCAAATATGCTCTTTATGAATGTGAGTTCCATAAAAAAATATTTTGTTGTGAACATGTAAATCGTATAAATTTAAAAATATAAATAAAATATATAAAATCATAACCTGTATTAGCGCTCAAGTATTTGTTTTATTTAGCAATTTAATTTTGTTGTTATAACTGTTTTTATATTCATTTTTTGTTTATTACAGTTTTTTTCTTTACCCTTTATTATCATAAAATAAATCAATTCTCAAGCTAGTCAGCCTTTTAATTAATTCGCCCAAGCATCGAACCCGTCACAACAGGGGTAAATCACATTCAAAATAGCAAATCACATCAGCCTTTTTGTTCATCATCCTAAAAATTAATACTAAATTTAATGAAAACAAAATCTCAATGTGGGTTTTATCGAAAATAAAACGATAATAGCATGGGCGCATCTTGAGATATCTTTCAGGAGGGGCTTAGACTCCAATTACACACCTTCTCACCTGATGTTATCTTCTGAAAAAAGGTGCTGTGCACTCTATGGTTAATGCTTGCCGTGAGAAAACTGACTGCGCATAGACTTAAACTTGAATAGGTCATACACGATACTTAAAATCGAATAGGTCAAAACTTCCTCGATGATGTTCAATTATACACTTTATAATATGCATGTATGATAAAGGAATGCGTCATTATATATTCAATAAAGTTCAAACTGTAAAAAGGCATACCGAACACGGTGACACTTATGAATCCAACCTAATATATGCTAATAAAGTTTCGTTGCACGGTAATGCATTGTCAAATTTATGTAGTCATTTGAAGGATTGATTTGTGTAATGTGGCTGTTGAGTGTCCTATCAGAATTACAAAATAACCTGAAAAAACCTACAAAATATATTTAAGAATTAAAAATAGATAAAGCACCTAACTTTTAACTTCACAAATACGTAAGTGCAATGAGAGTTAAAAGCATTCCCCTATTTTAGAATACGTCCAATGGCAATATTTCACGCTATTGTGTTATCGAGTTGACAATGTTACAATGGAGGGACGAAATTTATGCTACACACCATCGTTGTGAACGTTTTACAGATAAAATTATTTACATTGTAATTTTTTACATTTGCTATATAACTAAGAAATTCACTTTAACCAATACAATATATTTGAGCACATTCATAATATTTAAATAAACTACTTATTTTTCTGTGACTTCACCCGCGTAATGTAATCTTTACTATACTTTGGTTATAAAGTACATCTTTTTTGTAAACTAAAATCAAACCCAACATAGTTTGGGACACGCCTCTGAATTAATGTAACGCTCATACTTCATAGTTTCTCGACGACCAACAAAGGATGGAATTTATGCATCCTTTCTACACTATATGGGGGTAAAGCACCAAGTATTTATGAAAATACACAATTTTATATAGGGCAGACGACCGGGTTTGCCCATTTTAAGATTATTACTTGGTTTTGGTTATTTTAAGTGTTACGAGGGAAGTGAACGTTGACACATCCCATCTGGTATTCGTTTTTGCATAATGTTACATTTAAAAAACCAACCAACCACAAGCAATGAAAAAAAGGCAGTACTTAAAACCTGATCTTGTGCCTTAGTATTTGTAAAATATTACCTAGAGACCGGGGTGAACCATAATTTTGATACCAGCAAAGTAATATTCACTTTATGTGCAAGTTATTGGCTAAATAGTAATGCCAAATAAGCTTTGATTTGTTGTATTCTAAGGCCGTAAATTACTTAGTAAGAAAACTTGTGACATGGACACGTAGTTTCGAATACATTATTACTCACAATTAACGTACATAAATTTTTATTAAAGTGAAATTAAATATGTTTATCATTAACCGGTTCTAACTATTGACCGGCTAATTACTATAAACCAATAAGTCAAGTTACCGGTTAGTCGGCGATCACGACTAAAACTATTTTATTTACGATATGAAAAAAGTAACAAAATCAACAAAGTTGCAGTTAGCGTAAAAATTTAATATGTAGGCAATTCTCTTAGTGATCCGATTAGGTGTTGAAACTTAACATCTTTGATTTAGAAGTAAAATATGTTTACAGAATAGAAATTATAGAAAAAAAACATGTTCTATTTCTACAATAACCTATGCTTAAAATGAAGTAATATTTTATTATATAGCCAAAAAATTGTAATGTTGTGTAATTTAACTGTCAAACCCTGTGTGTTTAAGTTTGGGTTTGAATGGTGGTGACGTGAGTCCAAACGCTTTCTTGACATACAACATATATTACATTTAAATGTGCACCTTATAAACTACACGCATCAATATGCTCACCTGAAATGTACATTTACAACGCAGACCGTCATCCATACACTTAACGACACCAAAATCATTGTGAACAGCAAATACTTCCCTAGCAGTGGTATCGCCAAAGAAGTTGGTGGTATAATCTCAGCCAACAGCAGGAAAAATACGGTGAGCGATACCAATATGGAGATGCTTAATGATATCTACGGGAGAACAGATAAATTACCTGAAGTGGACGTTCACAATGCAAACTGTGACCCAAACGCTGAGTGACACGAGTATCATTGTAAATAGCAGGTATTTCCCTAGCAATGGGATCGCTAGGGACGTTGGCGGGATGATCTCGGCCAAGCCAAGGAAGAACACTGTGAGGGACACCAGGATTGAGATGCAGAGCGATATCTAAAGGAGAGAAGTCCTTTTTGAGTACACGTTAAAGCAAATTATTGTCTTTCCACAATGCTTTAAAAGCTGTGATTTCGAAAGCGTCGTCAATAGCGTTTAAGCATCATATTTCAGTTACGCAGTACCTCTATGGTTTAGCAACTCTTTTTTCTTAAACGATCTGTAATCCTTTACTTATTATAATGTTATAAATTCTCTTTGTAGCCTTTTTGAAACCCCATTTTATTGCTGTGCCAGAGTGGAACTGTGTAATGTTTTAAATAGCTTTATCATTAGTCTGATTATGATGTCTTTGATTTTGTTTCTGATGAATGAAAGCTTGTAACGGTTTCCAATTTGGGTGTATAGAAACATAGCAGTCTTTTTATCTGAATTTTATTAGTTTTGATTTCATGGCGGTGGTTTTTCATGGTCTCTTGGAGCGTTATCTGTATTTATATAAATTTACTATCAAATCTTTTATTGCCATGAAATTAAAACAATATTCTATTTTGTGCTTAATATACTTCAACAATTTTTATTAAGCTTTTTTCTACAGTTGCTTTATGTAGTTCTTGGAAAAAGTATGTGATAGTCAAGTTAACAAGTTACAGTCATTGTTCAGAGGTGTTTATCATTATTATATTCAAGAAGTATTGATGATTTAAACAAACTACAATAATTAAGCTTTCAAAATCTAGTGCCTAAAACTGGTTTAACAATAAACGTAGCAACGTATTTTATAGATTTTTTAGTAAAGCAAGTACCGTTCATTCAAATTTAACACGTCTGAGGTTTTATTTGGTAAAATTATTTGAATTAAAAATAATAATTACCATCAAAATAAAATCAAAGTTTCATATTACTAAACGTGCAAATATTTTTTTAATTCTCTAGAAAAGCCAATCATTCTTAAGATAATCAAACTTGACACATCTATAGAATTTATAACACAGTGTAAGCACCAATGTCACCGGTTCCGGTTAATTATCGGTATCTGACATACAAATTCATAAATATTATATAAAAATAGAACCAGAAAGTTGTACTAAACACAGTAAATAGCGTACAGAACCTCTGAAAATGGCGCTTACTCTTTTCCTAGTGACTCATAAATGTTGAGGTGACTTCGTTTTTATCAAATAAGATATTGCTCGTATTTTAAAAATATTTTCAGTGTAACAAACAAAAACAAAGTTACTTCATACAAATAGTGGAAAGACAATGATGATGAAAATCGAAATAATGATACTAGCACACTCACACGACTAACTAAATAATCAAAAAAGACTAATACCGGTCGAAGGATGAATAATGGTAAGATTTGGAGAATGGATAATTGTTAAGTGGATTTGAGGATAAAAAACATGCCCTGAATAATTTTGAAATAATCGTATGAAATATTTAAATGTTTAATTCGAAAACAAACTGCTCTAGTAATTATACTTACAGATAGCGCTTACTTACTAACATATTATGTTCTATCTTGCACAGCTATTTTTTATAGAATTTGAAATCTTTATATCTGATCTTTCATATTTATGCTTATCTGACAGATCTTATTCTCACAAGGTTTTTGAATGAAAACGTAAAGAATTGGCATTGGTTCAACAGATCTTTATGAAATATGACAGTTTGCTGTGATATTCATAAAGCAAATGAAAGCAATTTTCGTACGTGCTGTTTATGTTCGAAATTTTTAACAAGCTTCGCAAACAAAGAAGAAGGCTGCGACTTCATGGTTCATTAACAAATTTTGACGCATTTTTTTTCAATCACGTTTTTATTAACGATTTACGAGTGATTTAACAAAAGCTCTGGATATATTATATTTCTATAGATAAATAATTTCATAATTCCAAAATATTTTTAGTAGTCTTTGATTTTAATACTACAGCAGATCGTTTTCTATAAAAAAAAACAACATGTAAATGTTTTAAATATTTGCAATCCGTAATATGGATTTAACATCTTACGTAACATTTATTTATCGCATATTATAAGCGGAATAGCAACCTAAATCAAGTATTTATTTAAATTTTGTTAGACTGTAAAGTAAACATTACAAACATAAATGTTACTTACAACATAGGTAAAAAGGAATGTTTATAGCATTTAAACATCATTAAAATTTATTTACTTACCGCTTTTTCAGGGCGTTTTAATGCATCATTATTAGCTATTTATTTATTATAATGTAATAATCGGAACAACCGGTTAAGTGTCGAATAGCATATCATTGAGATTATATCAATTAAATCAAAAAATATCATATATATAAAAAGACTGAAACTAGCCCTTAATGAATTTAATTTGTTGTTCTTTAATTTTAATATCGATGAAAATTTAAATGTTATTACCATTTAATAAGATAAAAATATTCGTAACACGTAGTATTTTCTTTAAAATATCTTGTAATATAATCTTAATCAATTTAAGTAATTCATTATAAATCCAAATTACGTATCAGCCATACATTATTTTTAAACTATATACAAAATAAAAATAACCTGTAAATAATTGTTATTTTACAAGAAAGTCTTATCACAATACATAACCAAAAACATTTAGTTCAAACACTCAATGTAACATTCAATTTATTCTAGTTAGCTTTGGTACACAAAGAATTAAATCAGATTATCAAAAATTACAATTTCGTTCAATCAATTTTGAAATTAATTGAAAAAGAATGAATGGAAATCTACTGAATTAAAAAGCTTAATAAGTACTTTTGTGTCGTCCAAAAATATTTTTCCTTACATTCGTTCAAGAAACGCTAAAGGTCTAAATCAATTGGAGAAATACGGTTTTGTATAACCTGTATTATACAAAACCGTATAAAAACTGCTCTATGGAACTTTGACGTTGATGAAAGGAAGGATTTTTCAATCTTCGAATAAAATTTATTCATAGAAATTATAAAATCAGTATCGCTGTACCGGTTACCGGTAATAAAACCGAGATTACGGTAATGTCGAGTTATAAGCATTAAAACAAGTGACAAAATTGCCCTAAAATTTTAACAAATTCGGGGAAACGCGGACGGTTGCGGACAACTCGAATGGGCTAATTTCTACTTACTTTAACAATCCGTTTACTATTTTGTCATCTGTAGAAAAGTGGAACGGAGTTTTATAAAAAGTGAGAAAAGAAATATATAAGTAGCATATTACAGATAAACAAATTTTACCCGAAGATTGAAAAACGACGCTTATATAATTTTAATCTCTAAATATATAAATTCTTTCCGCACACACAAACCTTACCTTTTCCCCTGAGTCTGATGGTAGATAGAAAACAAGAACTGTCAAAAATGTTAACCCTACGCACGGTATTATAAGATTCACCGTATAGAATAGAGTCTTGCGGCGCATCGTCAGTTTGAAGGTTATGTCTGTAACAAAAAAATATGAATCAACCGTTCCCAAGCCAAGAGTAATAGATATGACTAAGACACTTTGACTAAGTAATAGATATGTGAGTATGTCAAATATTTAGTTTTTACGTAAGGAAACGTAATGATTATCTTTCTGATCATAATATGAATATATATTTAACATTTAGGTCTTCATTACAACTCTAGTGCCAAAGATGAAAGATTTAGATTCGCTTTTAAAATGAGACTTGAAAATTACATATATTTAGAACCCTATAATCAACCAATGGTAATAAATACAAACTGGTTAAATATTAAATGATATTGAAGTGTTATGACACTAATTTCAAAATTGATAATCTTTTAAACAACACAGTTAAACAATACAGTTTATTCAACGACTGAGCAAAACCGAATAAAAGGTCATTTATTCAAACGTCGGAGAAATTGCAGAAATTTACCTGAAAACGGCTCTTGACAACAGGGGTAATACTCCTCGTTTCTGGTGGCGGGTACCTCGAGTATATCCCATTCTACAGACAGGTAGAATTCGCTGAGGTCGATGCCAACATGGACCAAGCTACTGCCGGGCGATTGGTCCATGTGTTTTAGATCAACCTGGACATCAAAAGTTTCATGTAACAGTTTAATTTTTAATAAAAAAGAGTAATAAACATAGATGAAGTGAAAGGAATATGCTAAGGCCGTGCTTTGTGGCGATGAGATAAAAGTCTGTCCGTTATACAATTGGCAGCGTGTAGTCTGTCCTTCGATCAACTAAACTCTAACCGTTGTTATATTGAGTGAATGCTTCTTATTTATTCAAATTAGAATAAGTTATTTACAACAGTTATCAGTGGAGTTATTGCTGTTCTAACAATGGGTTGTACTTCTGTTCCAATACCTGTATTAGTGAGTCATAAGTTTGCATATTTGCAGAAGTTAACGATGCAAACCAACCTACCCAAATATCTGAACATATGAAATGCCATTAACATATAAGATACTTAAGGCAATTGACGCCCTTGCTGTAATTAATACTTCTATACTTGTTCAGACTTTACTCAAACACGCATCAATTATGTGGCCTTAGTACAGGTACCTTATATGATATTTTAAAGGTAAGTATACAATCAATTATTGTATAAGTACACTAACCTGTGCGCCATTGTAAGTCCAAGAGCCGAACTTCATGAAACAAGTTTGTTCATCAAAAGGGAAGTACTCGACGTTGATCTCGCATGACGATTTGTAAATGGCGGGGGGCTTCCAATTAACCTCACCGGTATACTTTAATGTAGCTTTTGTCATCAGGGTCACCTGTAATACGAATTGCTCCGTTTCATAAAATCATACGCTTCTCCTATACATTTTTCTTCCATATCGTCATCTCAACATTGTTTTTGGCTCCGGAAAGTAATAAAATAGAATACGTATTCAAATTCAAATTCAACACAGATATAGGACATAGTAGAATAAAAACAAACATACAGAAAAAAAGATTAAAATAAAAAATAATTAAAAAATAGTGTCCCATGCCTACGTCAAAAAGGCATCTAGTTCAGCATTTGTCAGTGACGTTGAAGCTGATTTTCAACTAGACCCTTTCCTTCTTTGAAACACGGATGCCACACAGTACAGGACCAAGCACGCACGCAAATGACGCATATGTAGTTATCAAACCAATATGTATAGGTAAATAAATTATACATTTCGGACGTCATACCTATAAGCAGCACAGAACCAACCAACTTGCACCAACATTAAGCCATTCATAAATTTAATGATCTTCCATAATCAATAAAAACAAATACTTATATTAGTTAAAAAAGGTGTCCTCGATCTAATGAATATATAAATAAATAACATTATAATATAATCGGTCATATATTGACTAAATAATATAATTGTGAAATTAATAAAATAGAATAAAATGAAATTTATTTGTATCAATTAATATATAAAATCAATTTTCACCATTGCAATAATAATAAAAAATGAAAATATGATTGAATAAATTAAAATAATTTGTATATTTGTAATATTCGAGTTCTGTGGTCAATTTGAAACATAGGAGAATAACAGTTTCTTATATTTTCTCGTTTAAAAGTGGTTTAGTGTTCTGGCTAGTCTTTTATAAAAATTGAGCTTCAGAAGCGGCGCTGCGTTATAACTGTTTTGTGATTATTATTATGCGCCTTAATACAACAACGTTTGTGTCTATCTCACAGGAAAGATGTGGAAAGTATATTCAATTTTAACCACACTTTCAAACCCATATGGAATCTTTGGTGACTAAAAGACTCACTTCATAGTTTCCATCCCAGTTATTATAAAGCACTATATCTGGTAGCCAGATGTGCTCCGACGGTACGTACAGCATCTCCACACCGCCATAGTCATCGGGGTTCCAAGTCAGTTTGTAGTCAAACCATTTCTGAAAATAACAACAAAATCACTTTAACTAGGTGACATACATGTATACTTTAACTAGCCTTCCACCAGCGGCTTCATAATTTTAAGTCCAAAAATGAGAAAATTCCATAAAAACTTTCATCCCCTAATTTACCCCCTTAGGCGAATTTCATAAAATATTGTCACTTTTTCATGTTAAAAAGAACTCGCATGCAAAATTGGAAACTCCTAGCACTTGTAGTAACGAAGTTTCATACAAAATTCCATCTCCTAATTTATTTATTTATACCATAGAGGTTGAATTCCATAATATCCCGTTTTGGTGGGCACCCACGTCCTAAAAATAACCAGCATGCAATATTTAAAACTCCTAGCACTTAAAGTAATGAAATTTCATATAAACTTTCATCCCCTAATTAAGCATCTTCAGGATGGCAATTTTCAAAAATCCAATTTTAACTATACATAGTATAAAACAAAGTCGCTTCTCGCTTACAGCACACTGTATATTAATGAAAACTGCATTCAAAATTAATATGAAAGTTTATATGTATACCTATGTAATACAAGAAACCACGTGGGCGAAGCATGCTTGCTAGTAAGTATTTAATAAGCATTTGTTTTCCGTTACTTGTGAAGTTAAGTCTTTAAACTCCTAGAAGTACTTCGAAGCTTTAAGAGATGGAAGTACTTCAGAGACGATTCAAGCACCTTTACAGGTGCCTTTATTTATTTAACCTAAAAAATCCTAACTAGCTATCCCAAAAAGTGCACAAAGTATAGAATAATTATATTATATCATAGCCCACCTGTTCCACCCAAAGGTTCGTAGTCATGACCTGATTCTTCAGATTAACTTCCATCAGTTGTGATAACTTTAAGCCCAATCTAACAGTAAGAATATCGCTCACATTAGTCACAGGGCGAATCAGTCTATTGTAGTTGCTAAGTAAGTCATCGTATAAACGCTTCACATCAGGGTTTGCTTCTAAAAGTTTCACACCTGGAAAAATGAAAATAAATTTATTAGACTATCATCTATTACTAATTTTTCAAATTCTAGAACTAAGAAAACCGTTTTATTATTGGTCTATAGAAGAAAACCTATTTTATCATTAAAATAAAGTCCAAATATTATATAAAACAGATCTTTTGTTTGTAATATGAAGTCATTGTGTTTTATTAAGGAAATATTTAAAAAAGAAACTACTAAAATAAATGCCACTAGATAGCGGTATTAAGATCAACACATTCCTATCAATTCATGACACATAACTCAAATACTGAAAACTGCGGTTAAAAAAAATTTTTTTTTCGAAACGTATTTTAAAAATGTACCAGTAGATATCACAAAGTACTGCCGTAGACATTCTAAAAATCAAATGTTAATGAATTTTGTTTCTTTATTAAAGTAAAAAAAAATAGAAAATATACGCATGTTATAGATAATTATTATTAAATACAAAAATGTTTCAAAGTACGAAGCAACATGTTTGATTTCGAAAGTTGCTTTTTCAAAATGCTTTCTTTAAAAAAAATCCTGTTAAAAATCAGATTGATGCTAGCAACTTAGCAATGCATGCAAATTTCACTATAAAAATAGGTTAATTACTATATATTTGTCGTCGGTTTTCAAAATTCACAAATAAACTAAAAATAAACTCACCAAAACTTTTATTTATGAAAGCGAAGAAAATGCAAGAAATCACCAAACGCATTTTCACTTTTAATATTTCGTTTACTGATACATGTTTACAAAATCGTGATGCTGAGCTGCTACGAGATAAAAATTAACGCGCATGCGTAATCAATACGTCTACGAAACGCCCAAGTGTCGTAGTGTTATCGTAACGACACACTAGAGCCATTTGTTCAACTGCGATGGCACATTCCGGAACTTACGATGCATTTTTCTTTATCTATAACAGATGGCGTTGACGCTATATTTTTAAGGATATTTGTTTTCACAATATTGATTTTATCGTTCAAAAACTTTGACAAATTAAGCCAAAACTTAAAAAAATAGCTTGTTTGTCTATTGAAATCGGCTAGTTGATATTTATTAACTGTAAAACAACTAACACGATGTCAAAAATCCTTGCCTGATATAAAAAAAAATATATATAATTGACCGCATTTCTAACTAGTTTTTTGAATAGCTTGTTGAGAAGCTAGTTCCGTTTGTCTTTGAAGGTTATTTTACTCTAGGCGCATCGAATTCATATCATCGCATCAGTGGCTGACTAAGGGGAAATGGAGGGGGTGGTCCTCTAAATAAATGGCTGCAGCCATCCGCCAAGATCATTACAATATAATAAAGTTTCCCCGGTTGGAGAAAGTTGTCGATCCAAGCCTATTGCCGCCCGTGGCCTCAAATGAAGTTAGTCCGCCATTGCATCGTATATTGTGACATTATTTTATATTTACACAGCGCCATCTGATTTACGCGACTATAGAGTTAAAGGAAAAAGACGTCATTCTTAAAGGGAACAAAATTTTCGTACTTAGAACATTCTTTTCCACGAAAACTAAAATTTAAACTTTGTTTGGTGAGGAGAAAACAAATTACTGTACCTAAATGTTATTATTATACCTATTGCGTTCAACAATTGCGTCAATTGAAATAAAATACAAACAAACTATCATCATTTATTTTACAGTTATACTTAATTACAACAGATACAAAATATACATTTATATTACACCTACACTTAATTACTTAAAGTCTTAATTACGTATATCGGTTAATTTATTGGGTACTCGTTCTTTATTAGAACGTACAATTTTTTTTAGCTGAATAAATATGTAAGAAATGTAACTGAAAATGAAAGATCCATAAGAATAAAGCATGATAACTGTTCGGTGGGTATTTTTAAAATTAATATTATAAATTAATTTGTAACAAATTAAATTTTCTAAAAAAAACGATAGATTTCTTTAAATACAATATGAAAAAATATATTTGGATTTTTCTTCTTCGTGTCATCATATAATCACCAGCCTATTAATGTCCCCACTGGGGCTCAGGCTTTCCTTCTGGATGGAAACGATGGAATAGGAAGAGTTATTCTTCTTATGTCTTAATGTATATAAATCTATTCATATTTATAGATATGGATATAATGTTAACTAAAATTAACTAACTAAACAATAAAACAACTTGCGCATGCAAATCAAATATCTTCAAGTCTTCTATTTTCTCCATTCATCCCTTATTATGTGTCTATCCGTTCTTTTGATTATGTATGTGGTGAAAAATTTCATGAAACTCCTCCCGTTCTATGACAAAAAAAAATATTATTAATATTTGCATTTTAGATTCCATAGAAATTCTGTACTTGGGACATACTTGATGTTACATTCGTATTACGGCTTTATACGTTGGCGGTATGTTTATTAAAGGCGAACGTTCACTTTGTATACGCACGGTACACAACGGATTTTTCGTAGTATTGTATAATGGAATGCGTGCCGATGACATCTTACGTTTTCTATAGAGCTATTATATACTACTTCGTAGCGTTATGTCAAAACTGTCAAATAGTATTTCTATTAAAAATACGAACGTATATATGACATCGCCAAATCCGTACAATTAGTTTCGTCACGTGCGTCCATTGCGTTGCATACTCGGTAGACATTCGTCATATAACTGATTCAATACAGGTAGGGGTACATAAACGAACACAATTTTAAAACCATAAAATATTTTGCCATATAGAAAAAAACTACCTTTTCGCCAGCGGCATCGGCCGCGTGATACCATATTATACATAAAAATAAATATATATATAACACTTCTTTTCAATTCAATAATTCAATTATTACTCTATAAGTGTACTTTAAAAGATCTCAGCGTATAGTCAGCGGAAAGTGATTTTGTTTTAAACTATGTATTGAATTTAAACAAAAATGAACATTAATATAATTGTTACAAATATAGCAATAAACAAGTAAAATATAGATTTATTCTATTTTTTTTTTATTTAGGTCTACCTTTTCGCTGATATCTCGGAAGTGGCCATAGACTAAAGGGATAGTAGTACGCAACAGGTATTCTTCTTACTGCTATATAGGATCTTTCTTGCTGCATTGTTTTGGCTTCTGAAATAACAAATATCAGAATCATGATGTGTGTTGAACCTGTTTTACTTATTATATAAGTAATTATAATTATACTGTAGCAAAAAATATAATCTACATCTATATTTCTGTACTAATATTTTAAAAAGAAAAGACGTATGTTGCATCAAATAGCTGCGAAGCTACTAGACCGATTTAAAAAAAGAATCACCTAACGGATAGCTACATCATATGGGGTTGACGTACCAAGGTAGGTGTGACGGAAAGAAATGCGAGTAAAATATAACTACTCCTCTCTCTCTCTCTTGCATTTTACGGTTTGCATTGCCGATATGTCGGATTTACTTAAGCAAAAAAAAACCCCTATTCGATGAGCTACAGTGCGTATTGCCTGATAGCCTCTACCAAGCAGTCCTTAGCGCGGCGATGTCGACATTACAGGCATCGTTGCCCCCCCCCCAACTTCCGCAATGGAGTGTGAAAGCATATCCATAAAGAGGACCGCTTCACCACGATCCCCCCCCCCCTCGCCGTCGGACGATGACCTTCTCAGGACGTCTGATTCCAACGAATCCTCCACCAACTCATTTCATACGGTGAGAAGCCGCAAGAAGCGTCGTAAGCCACGCTCCCCTAGAGCAAGGGCGGTCGCTTCTTCGCACATCAGGCGGGGTGTCTTCGGTAAGCAATACCGCCGAAAAACCTCCTCGGCGCAAATCTTACCAGAGGCAATACCGACAAGAAAGCCACTCGGGAGAATTCTCCTAGTATTACTCCCTCCCTCACCCCGCTGCGGCCGCATAATAAATGCTCCCCGCAGCCGGGTAAACCCAAACCTCCGCCTCCCGTATTTATATGGGACAAATCAAGGTGGGCAGAGGTCTCGAATCTCTGCACATCCAACAAGATAAATTACACCCATGCCAAAAACATGAGTATAGCTATCCGGGTGGAAACACCCACTAGTGAGGACTATAGAGCCCTCACTAGACTTCTAACCCACCACAAGGTGGGTTACCATACCTACGCTCTCCCAGAGGTAAAGCTCTGCGTAAAGTTCGTGTAGTTCTGAGAAATGTTCCGTACAAACTCGCCACCGATCTGATCCATAAGGATCTAAATGAACAAGGCTTCCCTGTGGAGTCTGTTCATAAAATGCATAGTAGAGCCGGCAGGCCTTTCCCTCTGGCTCTACTCATCATTCCAAATGTCCCTAACGCTCGTGACATTTCCAAGGCTAAAGACCTTAGGGTCTGCGGCCTTACCGGGGTTAAAGTAGAACCCCCTCACCGACGTGGTACCCCGGGACAGTGCCACCGATGCCAGCTTTACGGGCATGCGGCGGCCAACTGTTCCGCGACTCCGAGGTGCGTAAAGTGCCTCGAGTCACATCCCACAAAGGAGTGCTCTCGAACTCGAGACACTCTCACCCCTCCGGCCTTTGTACTGTGTGGCCACACAGCCAACTATAAAGGTTGCCCACGAGCGCCATAGCCCAAACCCTCTTCTCAGAAGAAGGGTAAGGGCCCGGCGGTCAACAAAGTACCTAAAGCCCCCCGCCCGCCCACTGCGGCGAACTTCCTCGCCTTACCAAAGGCGTATCACTCCGCTCCTAAATCGGCTTCACAACCGATGTGCTCCCCCCCCGAAATCCTTTCAGACGAAGCTCTCACCAAAGGCTTCTGTCTCACCTCCCAAAACCGCCCCTGTTTCTTCATCTATAGCCGATGACATAAATCTAGTTTTTAACTTGATTCGTGGAATCGACAAAAATGAAATCTCCTAAGCTCCACCGCGCTTCGTCCACGCAGGAACGCCTTCTGGCGCTTTGCGAACACGAAGCGTTATTAAGTGCCTTATCATAACCACTAATAACATGTTAGGTTTCCCAAACCTCCCACAATCCATCCTTTGGCCGACCTGGACCTCCTTACGAGACCCAGTAGGCCAAATCCACCCCCATCATACTGACCCTTCAGGTCAACCCTTTCTGCCCTCTCGACCTGACATGCCCTCAGGATGCAGGTCATACAAATTGTTACGGGCATCAAATAGCACCCTTCTGGTGGTATGTGATGCTCCCCCTCCCCGCCCTCCACACGCCGACCCTTCAGGTCATACCCCCATCCGATCTAGCTGATCGTTCCCCTTCAGAGAATCAGCTGTATTACAATCCGATGAGCCGAGCCCCCGGGGTTAACGGCTAACATCTACTATGCGCCACTCCTGCCCCCCCCCCTTGCGGGGGTGGTCGCTCCGGTCGAAGGTTCGTTGCCTCTGGGCATATAACCAGCTGTCCAAGCCGGTTTTTAGTCAGTAGGAATCTGACATAACCTCGCAGCCGGTTGTGTGGTATCCAATGAAGGATTCTTCCCCCGTTGGGAGGGTGGTTCCGAACCCTTAAGGTTGCGAGCCGTAAGAAAAAAGAGCAATTTTTGTAAGCTCTCCGGCCCTCAAGATCAAAATAAAGAAGAAGTGAAAATTATCGAAGGAGTTTTAATTCTACAGTCCAGCATCGGCTAGCTACGTTGAATCTGTTCAAGATCCAGGAAGATCCGCAACACTGACATAAGGAGCCCGATGGCGGAGTGGTTAGCCGGTATGCGATATCGAAGTTAAGCAACTTTCCCGTGGG